GGCCCCGCTTCCTGCGCGGCTCGGGCTCCAGCTCAGGCGCCGCCGAGGCTTCGCGCCGCCCGGATGCCCGGCCCGTGCGCAGCCCAGCGCGGGGCCGCTCGCTGCCCTGGAACGCAGGCTACGCCGAGTGAGTGCCCCCGCTCCGGTCGACCTTTGTCCCGGGACCCCTGCCGGACTCGTCTTGGAGTTTTGTGCTGGCCTAGAAAACAGTCTTAAGTTGAGTGATTCCCCACCCCACCTGTGGATAACCCCTTGTCATCACCTCGGGACCCCTGACAACCTCCCCCTTACCCAACCCAGCCTTTCCTTTGGGACTCCAACCTCCCTCAGAGAAAAGCTGGAGGTGGAGAACAATCTGCACCCCAAGGGCTTCCAAGGCAAGGCGGAGACTCCTACAGTTCCAGCGTTCTGGGCTTGGGAGATATCCCCTACTCCCACCCATCTTACTCTGGGTATGGCCTATGTCTTGTGGGGCAGGGAATGTGAGGGAGCCCTAGATTTTGTCAGGCAGCCGGCTCTTATCTCCTAGCCCTGAGTCAACAGGTAGGTGCCAGAGGAGCTGGGCCCTGACTTTTTACCTTAAAAGTGAGGCCACCGAGCAGTTAGGAAACTTACATGGTGGTTTTCCAGGTGTGTATCAGGGACAGCACTGGGAGCTGTTGCCTCAGAGGGGAGGGCTTCTCACTCTGTGTGCCAGCTCAGGTCTCTGTACCCATGGACACATACATAGGGGTGTCTCTGAAGGGTCACTGACCACTTGCTGGCCTCAGGATCATCAATGCAGAGAAATCTGAATTCAATGAGGATCAAGCTGCCTGTGGGAAGCTGTGCATCCAGCGATATGAATTTGGGGCTGGAGAAGATCAAGAGTGGCTGACCCTGTGCCCAGAGGAGGTATGTGTAGCCCAGCCTGAGCCCCTATTACAGGCTGGGGCCAGGACCTGCAGGCTGAGGTTCTTAACCTGCTGCCCCATGTCCTAATTAAGGCTGGGCTGAGGAAGCCAGGCAGGACCTGACATAGCCTTTCTTGTGCAGTTCCTGACAGGCTACTATTGGGCACTCTTTGATGGCCATGGCGGTCCTGCAGCAGCCATCCTGGCTGCCAACACCCTGCATTCCTGCCTGCGCCGGCAGCTGGAGGCTGTGGTAGAGGGTCTAGTGGCCACCCAGCCCCCTATGCACCTCAGTGGCCGCTGTGTCTGCTCCAGTGATCCTCAGTTTGTGGAGGAAAAGGGCATCAGGGCAGAAGACTTGGTGATTGGGGCTCTAGAGAATGCCTTCCAGGAATGTGTGAGTGTGTGGCCTTTGGCTGGGGAAAAAGGGAAGATTTTGCCCCCAGGGACCTAAGGGAGTAGCATCACTACACACAGTGGGGATCACCCAGATACTTGGATTGTGAAGATGAAACTGGGTTGGTTTGTTACTAATAGCCATCAGTGTCATCATAGCCCCTCCCATTTAGTGCCTTCTGTGTGCTAGGTGCTTTTACCTGCATTGTCTCATTGCACACCCTGTTAGTCCTTGGTACAGGGGCTGATTTCCCTTCCTCTATTTTCAGTAGCACTTCCCTTGTCTAGATCTACTGACTACAGGGATCTTGGAGGCATGGCTGGACTTTGGGTTGGGACTGCCAGGTCTGCTGGTAGAAGTGAACTGTAGGGTGGGGGCTGGGGGACAAAATGGTATGGTGGCAGTATAGGTAACTGCTAAGGTAGCCTCGGTTTGCCCCAGGATGAGGTGATCGGACGGGAGCTGGAGGCCTCAGGCCAGGTGGGCGGCTGCACAGCCTTGGTGGCTGTGTCCCTGCAGGGAAAGCTGTATGTGGCCAATGCTGGGGATAGCAGGTGAGTGAGCTGCGCCTTGGAGGGTGGGCAGAGGAAGGGCGGGCAGGGCACAAGAGGCAGTGGGAAATAGTAAAGGGTGGATGGAAGTGGAGGGATAGAAATGGGAAAGACTGGGCAGTGCCTGTGGCTCAAAGGAGTAGGGTGCTGGTTCCATATACTGGAGATGGCAGGTTCAAACCGGGCCCCAGCCAAAAACTGCAAAAAAAAAAAAAAAAAAAACCCAGAAAGAAAGAAATTTGAAAGATCGACTGGCTGAGTTGCTTGTCTGTGTACTTAGCAGGTGTTAAGTGCGCAGGTGGGCAGTGGATGCCAGGGAGGGCAGGGAGCTCAGGTACCAGACTGAAGGGCTAAGTCTATACCCTGCAAAAACCAGGCAAGCCAGGCACAGTGGCTCATGCCTATAATCTTAGCACTGTAGGAGGCCCAAGCAGATAGATTGCTTGAGCTCAGGAGTTAAAGACCAGCCTGAGCAAGAGCAAGACCAAGACCGCCCCATCTCTACTGAAACTAGAACAATTAGCCAGGTGTGATGGTGCATGCCTATAGTCTCAGTTACTTGGGAGGCTGAGACAGGAGGATCACTTGAGCCCAGGAGTTTGAGGTTGCTGTGAGCTATGACACTGTGGCATTCTAGCTTAGGGCAACAGAGTGAGACTGTCTCAAAAAAAAAAAAAAAAACCCAAAAAGAAAGAAACTAGGCAGTCATGGAGGGCTTTGAGCAAGGAATCAGTGTGGGCAGAGCTGGCTCCTGGTGATTGACAGAGGGGCTGGCAAGAGGGTGGCCATGGGTAAGGGTGGAGGCCACCTCATAGACCTCCCTCTCTCTTCTTCAACCCCATCCAGGGCCATCCTGGTGCGGAGAGATGAGGTGCGGCTGCTAAGCTTTGAGTTCACCCCAGAGACTGAGCGGCAGCGAATCCAGCAACTGGTAGGTGTCCATGGGAAGGGGAGACTGTAGAGCCCTACCCTAATTCCTGGGTTCAGGGTGGCATTTGTGGCTCAGCGAGTAGGGCACTGGCCCCATATACCAAGGGTGGCGGATTCAAACCTGGCCCCAGCCAAACTGCAACAAAAAATAGCTGGGCATTGTGGTGGGTGCCTGTAGTCCCAGCTAGCTACTCCAGAGGCTGAGGGAAGAGAATCATCTAAGCCCAAGAGCTGGAGGTTGCTGTGAGCTGTGATGCTATGGCACTCTACTGAGGGCAACAAAGGGAGACACTGTCTCTAAAAAAAAAAGAAATAATTCCTGGGTTCAGGGCCAAAGGAGGCCATAGGAAGGAGCCTGACCTGAGCATAGTCTCCCCACCCCAGGCTTTTGTCTACCCTGAGCTTCTGGCTGGTGAGTTCACCCGACTAGAGTTCCCTCGGCGGCTGAAGGGGGATGACTTGGGGCAGAAGGTTTTGTTCAGGGATCACCACATGAGCGGCTGGTGAGCAAGCTTGGGGAACATGGTGGGAAAGGAGAGCCTTGGGGTCTAGGCTCAGCTGTATGTCTTGGGGAAGTCCCCCTTTATCTAGACAGGGTGGGTACAATGACGGCCCTAAGTTGGGGGAAGTTGAGGTGAGGTGTGGAACCTGGGTTGATGCTTTGGTCTGCTCCTGGTAGGAGCTACAAATGTGTGGAGAAATCGGATCTCAAGTACCCGCTGATCCATGGACAGGGGAGGCAGGTCAGTGCCTGGCCCCCCTCCAATAATCCCTCTCCACTTGCCCCCTGCAGAGATAGGAGCCCCTGTGTCCCTTCATAGTTGTGACAGGTGTCTAGTGATCATTCTGAGACCAAGATGTTGTTCCCTCAGCCCAGGGAGTACTCTGCCTCTCACTGTGTGCTCTGCAGTGCTGCAACCTAGCACTTGTGCATTTGCTGCAGGTGTTTGCCATCACTTCACACTTCTCTTCCCTCCAGGCTAGGTTACTGGGAACACTGGCTGTCTCTCGAGGCCTGGGAGACCATCAGCTCAGAGTCCTGGACACAAACATCCCGCTCAAGCCCTTCTTACTCTCTGTCCCTCAGGTAAGAAGACAAGGGCATCCACCTCACCTTACATCTCCCCAGAAATGCAATGAGTCTGGTGGGGGCAGGAAAGGGAGTCCTGACGCATCCTCAGGCTTAACTTGCAGGTGACTGTGCTGGATGTGCACCAGCTGGAGCTGCAGGAGGAGGATGTGGTTGTCATGGCAACTGATGGACTCTGGGATGTCCTATCCAATGAGCAGGTGGCACGGCTGGTACGGAGTTTCCTTCCTGCAAACCGAGATGACCCACACAGGTAATGTAGTTGCTGGGGACTTGCCTAGGCATGGGTTGTTGCCAGCAGCAACACCTAGAAGTAGTTATGGCTGAGAAGACAGCACTGACTGGGGCAGGTGGCCAGCATCAGGGCTGTCTCCAGCTTCCCTGGGGGAAGAAAGGAAAGCACGGGTTCCAAAAATCTCTGGATCTAGACTTCTGTGGTCCAACCTGTGGCCCTCTCTGCTTATTGCTTGCTTGGCTCAGTCAGACTGCATTGCTTGGGTCCCCAAGTGTCTAGTCCTGTGGATTGAGTTCTTCTGGAGGGTTGGGCTTACCCCTTTGCTGTGCCCTTAAAGTATATCTACAGGATGGTCTTCACAGGTTCTCGGAGCTGGCAAAAATGCTGATACACAGCACACAGGGAAAGGAAGATGGTCCCACAGGGGAAGGGCAAGTGTCCTATGATGATGTCTCTGTGTTTGTGATTCCCTTGCACGGCCAAGGCCAAGGGAGCAGTGACCACTGAAAATTCAGATACTGCATCCCAGAACCACTCCAGTGCCAGGCGTGGTCTGGACATCCCTCCACTGTGGCCAAGACCAGGTCCTGGACAGTCCTGTCCCCAGCCACAGCTGGGTACTCTTGCCATTACCCATTTCAAGTGGAACATTTATATAAGGCAGTCAGAGCTGGAAGAGTGTGGAGAGCTCAGCCCACCAGATCCTGTTTGCCATGATATATCTAAATCTCTTTGGCAGAAGCACTTTACAACTTAGGAAAAAGCAAATCATGCTCCTCAGACAAGATCTTCAACAGCCCAAAGCATTATTCTCAGATAGGGACACCTGATCTAAGGATATTAGCCAAAGATGCTAGCAGGGGCAACTAGCCTATGTTTGGACCCAGGTCTCCAATCCATGGATGTCAGGGCATCCATTCAATCCCTGAAGTCTATGCAGCATGCCATGTAGCAAGCTTTGGGTAAGCTCATATCTGTTGGAACAGCCTTCTTGAACACAACCCCTAAAAGAGACCAGCTCAGGTCCTGTCCTACTCTCCTCTGCCACTGGAGGCAAGGCACAGGCCCTAGGGCTAATGTTGTGGAAAAGCAAAAAGGGGTAAAGCTCTTGAGTTGGTTGGGAAGGAGTGCTCTCCAGTTGTTTTTTTTTCCTTTGAGGTAGAGTCTCACTATGTTGCCCTTGGTAAAGTGCTCTGATGTCACAGCTCACAGCAACTTCCAACTCTTGGGCTTAAGCGATTCTCTTGCCTCAGCCTCCCGAGTAGCTGGGACTACAGGCATCCGCCACAATGCCTGGCTATTTTTTGGTTGTCGTCGTCGTTTGGCAGGCCTCAGCCAGGTTCGAACCCGCCAGCTCTGGTGTATGTGGCTGGCGCCCTGTGCTGAGCTACAGGCGCCGAGCCTCCAGTAGCTACTTATAGCCTGGTCCTATCCCTCCCTTAGTCTGATGTCCCAACAACACCTTGCTTGGTTGTTCCCCATCACCTCTCTATTATTAAATGTGTACAAAAGAACTCTTATAAATCGTGTATTGCTATACAGGTTGGATCAAAGAGATCTACTGTTGTTGCCTTCTAATGGATTAATCTTAGCTCCAATTTGCAAGCTTGCATATCATCGGGACTGCATTTTCTCTGCAGCCTTCCTCGTTCTCAGCTTGGGTGTTCCTCAGTGAATCTTTGCCCAGAGACTAGAAAGCTGTCATCACTTGTGAGCTCTGGGCTTAAGATACTAGAAGAGTTTAGCCTTTTTCTTTTT